CAGAGGTTCGTACCAATACTGCTCTGTCCCCTGGTATGCCATGCATTTGTGAATAGCTCAGGCATCTTCCCAGAAGGCTCTGGCCWGCACATGTCCTGCTCAGTTCCAAGCTGAAAAGGTTCCTTGTTTTAGGAGAAGAAAAGCCAGCATGTTTCTGCAGTGGCCTTTTAGGATGCAGAGTAAGAGATAAGAGACAGGAAAGTCATTCGAGGGATCTGGCCCCTGTCCAAGCAGAGGGCGTTCTCAACATGGATAAGATCAGGGCAAGAGCACAAGAGGTTTATGTTCCAATTTTAAATTCTTATTTTTACATAGCAGAAAACATCTCTCTGATCAGCCAGGTTATCAGATTGGCCTTGAAATCCTTCCTTCCTGCCAGCCCCAACAAGATCTCTTGAGATGCAACTGGTAAGGCCCTGGGTGTCTTCTACCCACCTATTGCTGTTAAGATACGCTCAGATCCACTAATCCCATTCAGAGACTGCATGTAAWAGTTTGTGAAGCAAGAACAAAAGTAGGAATGACAGACTTTGAACACTCATCCCCGGACAGCTTAGAGAATGAAGACTTGTGGTATTATAGACACTCTGGAAAAAAGGTCTCTGCATTCAGAGCTGGCCAATGCGTGAGCACAGGGTCACACAGTCACCCTCCTTCCAATGGCATGGAACATCTCCATTGGAACACCCACCTCTCCAAACAAACATACACTGAATGCTAAAATTCCCACGCATGTGTGTTCCTCTCCCACTTCCAGGGCCTTTCTTCCAGTTAGACATGATGTTGGCTGACACTCTGGGGCACCAGTGACCAGGTCTGCACACTCACACTGTCGGCCTGATGTGCAACACCCACACAGGCCAGCACCTGCTGCTCCCCTTGCAGTGACATGTGCTTTGCTACATGTACCTATTATGTACAAATGCATATTTCATATATATGCTGTCACCTCCAATTTACCTCTGCTCACCTGCCCACAGGGGCTGATTCTTCTGTTCCATTATTCTTTACTGTGTGGGAACAGAAGCAAGATTTTTTTTCTTTTTAGCATTATTTGCTCTTTACTGTAGGCTGCCACCTCTCACAGCTGCTATTCCTAAAAACATTGCAAACTGACTAAGCTGCTCCACATTAGGAAAGGTTAATAATCTCTCTTCCATAATCCTTCTAGGCTCTTAGACTAGTCATATCACTGTGCCATCGTATCACTTAAGAACCGCTGAGTGAGTGGAAAGGTTGCAGCTGATCACCACCTGAGCTGGCCCATGGGAAACTTAAGTACGGGAAACAACAGCAAGGTGACACCTTAGTGTTAAAACAGCAGCAAAACCCAGCCCAGTTCACCTGCTTAAGAAAGACTMCCAAGGACCACAAACATTTCCAAAGGCTGCAGCTGTGTTTCCACGCCAGAGGGCAAAGACACCATCCCTCTGTCTCACCTTCCCATGGCAGATTTCCAGCAGAAGAGGGAGGAAGGCATAGCTGTGATGATGCATGAGGGCACACCTTTCACCCTSACAAACCAGCAAAGCCCCAGGATGTCAAGGCAACCAAAGCATCAGTCAGGAGGAGGGTATTTTCAAATGCAGGCATCTCACAACCACATGAAACACTGATCTCAGCACAAACAGGATGAAAATGCTCTGATAGTATTAAAAKGTCACTGTCATCATTGTCATCACACAAGACTGAATAAGCACAATTCTTTCTCCTTCAAATTATTCAGCAGCAGGAGAACTGAAGGGAGAAAGCAAGGATCCTTACTTCAACCCCCTGGCATAAGCCATTAGACATCCTGCTCCCCAGACCAGCTCTGCTCTTCAGATCAGTTCACTCAGTGCATCTTCATCCAGCTGTTCGCTGCTTGGATATCTGTGACCATCTCAGCTCAGAAAGAGACTCTGCCTGAGTTGAAACAGGAACCCTTATGCATCAGTGCTTACAGTGACACAAGCAAACTGGTTCACATGGTGATGTTTCCTGTTCAGACACGCAGACAGCTGCCTGGTTCCTCCTGTAACAGCTCATCAGCCCATCTCTGTGAGATGTGTCTGCATTTCTTCCACCTTCACCAAAACAGACAGGTTCCAACACTGAACCTGTGCCACCAGRCCCTCAACAACAGAGTGCCAAGCTTCTCACCTCACCTCCTGCTATCACTCTGCAAAAGGCCCCACTCAGCAGGGCCTGACAACAGCCCTTCTAACAGAACTCAGGTCCCTAGTGTGCTCTGACTCCATTACCAAATGTTGGACAATACCCAGAAATCACAGAAGGGTTGAGGCTGGCAGGCACTTCTAGAGACAGCTGAGTTCAAACCCCCTCCTCTGAGCAGGGTCAGCAGGAGCTTGCTGCCCAGGACTGCATCCTGGCATGCTGTGACTCTCTCCAAGGACAGAGATTCCACAATTTCTCCGGGCAACCTGAATATCTTGCGTTTCCACTTGTGCCCATTACCTCTTGTTCTGCTGCTGGGCAACACTGAGAAGGAATACTGTGCCAAGCATGTTGTGCTGGCTGGATTGAGGCTTCCCTTTACATGATGAGAGCACTTTCAGAAATATTGACCTCTCTCAGCTGCTTCCAGAGCTTGGGCACCTCAGCAAAGAGTTCTGCCAGGGATCTGTCGCCTCCTTTGTCAGGTAGGTACACAAAAGTGGGCATTCACAATCACTTGAAAAATGAAAGCAAAAATGCACCTTTACTTAACAGCTCTGCTACCACAACAGACCAGCAAGAGGCTGTGAACTATCATATGCTATTATCATGGAAGCCATGAGTGCCTCAGGTGGAGAGGCAYTGTCCCAGCTTGGCAAGGCTGGCCAGAGAAGAGTGGATTTTGTGCCATCTGTCAGAAACGTGTGCTCTCAGTTTCTGCTGTGTATTTAGTGCAAGCTGACATGGGCTTAAGGAGCAAAGGGATAATTCGCCTTTCAGATTCTCCAGGGGCACAGTAATAAGCCACAATAATGAGCTTAAGGTGTCAGGAAACCACCCCACTGAGGGATCACTGAAACCCAAAGGACTGGAGAACCACCACCAAGCACCACTGAAAATAGCTGGTGTCCAAGGACAGACAAGCAGGAAAAAAAAAAAAACAAAACAAAACAGTGAAAGAGCACAGGGCAGGCATAACAGAAGGTGATAAACAAGATGTGCTAAAACATTGCAGCAGGATTAGAGAGCTGGTAGGTCTGAAGGACAGGCACAGTTGGGGAGAGCTCGTGGGGTACAGGACGACAGAGCTATACTGAAAACAATCCAGGGAGAAGCACATGAGAGTACATAAGAGATCAGGATTAATTGTGCAGTCAGAAGTACTGGGGCTGCTGGAAGACAGGACTGAAGAATCCTGGCACAAAGCAAATGAGAAGTCAGAAAAATATCACCCACCTCTGCACAAGGCTCTAGCCAGCTCTACCTGCTCCTCCTCCTCTAAGAAACCATATTCATTTCCAGAGCAGTGAAGGGCAAGGGCACCCAACAGCATGCTTACCAACTGCAGCACTTCTGGGTACACACAGGCATCGCTCCTAATGCCTGCTGGGCAAGGTATAAACCCTGAAAGGATTCTGGTCTGTCCTTCATCTCTATTGCAAGGCTATAAAAATACTGCAGTGAAAATAGCAGTTTTRTCACAAAGGATATTTGTTTTCTTCACCCTAACCTGTTTCTGCCTGTGTATCACAAACATGGRGGATCATATGGGGCTCAGTGCACTGAGGTACACCTGCTTTGGTGGCAATGTGCAAGGTCACAAACAAACAATCACAGAATGTTTTGGGTCAGAAGGGAYCTTCAAGATCATCTAGTTCTAAGCCCCYTGCCATGACAGAGATACCTTCCACCAAACAGAGTTGCTCATCCCTTGAACACTTCCAGGGATGGGGCAGCCACAACTTTCTGGGCAACATGTTCCACTGCATCCATCACTTGCACTGTAAAGAATTTCTTCCTAAAATCTAATCTAAATCTGTTGTCCTTCAGCTGAAAGCCACTACCCCTTGTTCTATCACTACACACCCTTGTGAACAGRCCCTCTCCAGCTCACCTGTAGCCTCCTTTAGGTACAGGAAGAGGCTATAAGGTTTCCTAGGAGCTATATCTTCCCCAGTGGGAGCAGCCCCTGCTTTCTCAGCCTATCTTCATAGGGAAGGTGCTTCAATTCTCTTAAAAACTTCATGGCCCTCCTCTGGCCTTGCTCCGTATCTTTCTCATGCTGGGGACTCCAGAGCTGGATAAAGAACTCCACGTGGGATCTCACCAAGAGCAGAGTACAAGGGGAGAATCACCTCCCTCAACCTAYTTGTCACATTTCTTTTTGATTCAGCCCAGGATACATCTCCCACAACAYCATACAGCACTGACCAAAAGAAGACAAAGGACCTACGAAGGAGCAGGTGTTGGCTGATGATTCAGGGAACGGGCTGCTAAAGAAAAAACTCTGAGGTGCAGGCAGCAGCAAAAACAACAAGGATGAGACTTGAGCATACCTGATAGACATAGAAGCTGTCAAGCATGAGAGATGCTCAGGACACTGCAGCATCATCCCAGCTAAAAAGCCATCCAAGCAAAGCAGCTCTCACCTGTCATCACCCAGTCCCTTATCCCATATGGTTCTGCAAACACCAGGGCACCAGGAAGATATAGTCCCTTTTCCACCAGCACCTCTCACCCCTACCAAACATCACTTAGTCAAGAAAAAAATGAAACCCTACAGGACACCCATGCTGTAGGACCTCATAGCATGGGATGTAGACTTTTACTCCAAGGAAGTTTTGAAACTACAGTCTCCAAAATGGAAAAGACAATGCATTATCAGCACCTAGCCTAAATTGCAACTACATTCTGTACTCCACACTAGAAACTTCTGTTAAGCAGCTGATCAAGCCACAGGAAATCTCCAGAAAACATCTTCTGGACACAGATGTTCAGTGAGAACCACCACATTAAGTATATGTGGAAAGATGAAGGAACTGCACCAGAAAAGGGCAACTTACACGAATTTTAATTACTCTAGTCTTCGCTCCACAATTCTTCTTGAGCAGCATCTTCTGAAAGAGAAGTAGAATCCAGGGATTAGTAGAAATAGCATGAAGGAACAGAAAGAGGGATATTGCAGGGAGTATCTTTTCCTCAACATTTCATTAAAACAAGATGGATAGATGATTGAGTGAGATATGAAAGATTAAGAACGACCAGAGGTSGCCAGCAAATAATCAAGCTAATCTGAGACCGTCTCATTGCAGCCTGTACTGAGTGGCTGTGGCTGATACCAGGGGTCTGAAAGAAAATACAAGAAATTTCACAAGGAAAGAGATGCAACAACTGGCTAAAAGGAAGTTTCTTCTTAATTTCTGTCAATTAGTGGTTAGATTTTGTCCTGAAGCAGGTGAATTTATCCTCCTTTATGAAGGAAAAAATAGTCTACTTTATGTAAATGTGAATGTTCCCATAATTTAACAGATATTTGCATTATGCTTATTTATT